AACGGTTTAGCAATAAAGTAAAGTAATTACATGACGTTTATGTTGACATGCAGGTCATAAATAAATTAAGACAACTCCTATGGCTCCTGCCGGTTGTCATACTCATCGACATGCAAGTCGTGATTCCTATTACAAGAACATGATCAATCTCATACATCACATATATCATTCATCACATCCTTTTGGCCATATCACATCACACGGCACATGCTGCAAAAACAAGTTAGACGTCCTCTAATTGTTGTTGCAAGTTTTTACGTGGCTGCTATAGGTTTCTAGCAAGAACGTTTCTTACCTACGCCAAAACCACAACGTGATATGCCAATTTCTATTTACCCTTCATAAGGACCCTTTTCATCGAATCTGATCCGACTAAAGTGGGAGAGACAGACACCCGCTAGCCACCTTATGCAACTAGTGCATGTCAGTCGGTGGAACCAGTCTCACGTAAGCGTACGTGTAAGGTTGGTCCGGGCCGCTTCATCCCACGATGCCGCCGAATCAAGATAAGACTAGTAACGGCAAGTAAATTGACAATATCGACGCCCACAACTGCTTTGTGTTCTACTCATGCATAGAAACTACGCATAGACCTAGCTCATGATGCCACTGTTGGGGAACGTAGCAGAATTTAAAATTTTCTACGCATCACCAAGATCAATCTATGGAGTTATCTAGCAACGAGGGAAAGGGGAGTGTATCTACATACCCTTGTAGATCGCGCGCGGAAGCGTTCAAGAGAATGGGGTTGATGGAGTCGTACTCGTCGTGATCCAAATCACCGATGACCGAGTGCCGAATGGACGGCACCTCCGCGTTCAACACACGTACGGTTGGGAAGACGTATCCTCCTTCTTGATCCAGCAAGGGGAAGGAGAGGTTGATGGAGATCCAACAGCACGACGACGTGGTGGTGGAAGCAACGGTGTTCTCGGCAGGGCTTCGCCAAGCTCAGCGAGAGGGAGAGGTGTCACGGGAGGGAGAGGGAGGCGCCAGGGGCTAGGGTGCGGCTGCCCTCCCTCCCTCCCATTATATATAGGGCCCCTAGGGGGGGCGCCGGCCCTAGAGATTGGATCTCAAGGGGGGGCGGCCAAGGGGGGGTGGCTTGCCCCCCAAGCCAAGTGGGGCGCCCCCCACCCCCAGGGTTTCCAACCCTAGGCGCAGGGGGATGCCCAAGGGGAGCGCACCAGCCCACCAGGGGCTGGTTCCCTTCCCCACTTCAGCCCATGGGGACCTCCGGGATAGTTGGCCCCACCCGGTGGACCCCCGGGACCTTTCCGGTGATCCCGGTACAATACCGGTGACACCCGAAACTTTCCCGATGGCTGAAACTGGACTTCCTATATATAATTCTTCACCTTCGGACCATTCCGGAACTCCTCGTGACGTCCGGGATCTCATCTGGGACTCCGAACAACTTTCGGGTTACCGCATACTAATATCTCTACAACCCTAGCGTTACCGAACCTTAAGTGTGTAGACCCTACAGGTTCGGGAGACACGTAGACATGACTGAGACGACTCTCCGGTCAATAACCAACAGCGGGATCTGGATACCCATGTTGGCTTCCACATGTTCCACGATGATCTCATCGGATGAACCACGATGTCGAGGATTCAATCAATCCTGTATACAATTCCCTTTGTCAATCGGTACGTTACTCGCCCGAGACTCGATCGTCGGTATCCCAATACCTCGTTCAATCTCGTTACCGGCAAGTCACTTTACTTGTACCGTAATGCATGATCCCGTGATCAACCACTTGGTCACATTGATCTCATTATGATGATGCATTACCGAGTGGGCCCAGAGATACCTCTCCGTCATACGGAGTGACAAATCCCAGTCTCGATTCGTGCCAACCCAACAGACACTTTCGGAGATACCCGTAGTGCACCTTTATAGTCACCCAGTTACGTTGTGACGTTTGGCACACCCAAAGCACTCCTATAGTATCCGAGAGTTGCACAATCTCATGGTCTAAGGAAATGATACTTGACATTCAGAAAAGCTCTAGAAAACGAAGTACACGATCTTTGAGCTATGCTTAGGATTGGGTCTTGTCCATCACATCATTCTCCTAATGATGTGATCCTGTTATCAATGACATCTAATGTCCATAGTCAGGAAACCATGACTATCTTTTGATCAACGAGCTAGTCAACTAGAGGCTCACTAGGGATGTGTTGTGGTCTATGTAATTCACACATGTATTACGATTTTCGGATAACACAATTATAGCATGAACAATAGACAATTATCATGAACAAGGAAATATAATAATAACCATTTTATTATTGCCTCTAGGGCATATTTCCAACAAAGATATTCCATTCCAACCACATAAATCTTGATCTTTAGCCTTCCCCAAGTTGCTTTCCACTCAAATCATCTTTCCACCAAATCATATCCTATGAGAGAGAGAGAGAGTTGAGTGTTGGGAAGACTATCATTTGAATCACAAGAGCAAGGAGTTCATCATCAACACACCATTTGTTACCTCTTGGAGAGTGGTGTCTCCTAGATTGGTTAGGTGTCACTTGGAAGCCTCCGTCAAGATTGTGGAGTTGAACCAAGGAGTTTGTAAGGGCAAGGAGATCGCCTACTTCGTGAAGATCTACCCTAGTGAGGCAAGTCCTTCGTGGGCGACGACCATGGTGGGATAGACAAGGTTGCTTCTTCGTGGACCCTTTGTGGGTGGAGCCCTCCGTGGACTCGCGCAACCGTTACCCTTCGTGGGTTGAAGTCTCCGTCAACGTGGATGTACGATAGCACCACCTATCGGAACCACGCCAAAAATCTCCGTGTCTACATTGCGTTTGCTCCCTCCAAACTCCTCCCTTTACCTTCATATGCAATTGTTTTACTTTCCGCTGCTATACTCTTAGAATTGCATGTGTAGGTTGATTGCTTGACTTGTGCTAAGTTGTTAAAATCTGCCAAGAATTAAAATTAGGAAAAGGCTAAATTTTTATTTGGTCAAGTAGTCTAATCACCCCCCTCTAGGCATACTTTCGATCCTATACATGGTCTCTCTCTCTCTCTCTCTCTTCATCCCAAGTGGTGGATTGTGGCCTTCAAGCTCATGGTTCTCCTCTTCCCGAGAAGAAGTTTACTAATCGTCCCATGAACGCACCATGGCTTCTCTGCACACAAACTTGACAAAGGGTCAGAGAGATTTTGTTTTGTTATGTGTGAGAAGGAAGGCCTTGGAGCGGTATATAAGAGGGTTAGGCCGTAGGATTTCACGAGATAAGGATGGTTGAAAAAGATTAAGAAACAAACTAAACGAAATCGATCAAATCTGCACCAAATCGTTGTGTTAGCACGAAAGACAACACACAGTATGAGAACGTGTGGTCTTACCAGCACTCGTACTTCGCGCTTTGCATGCGTTCGAGACTCCCAGAGCGAATGTCGACCAATATAGCTTGTACCCTGGGTCGCACTCCCCTTCGGCATGTGAAAAACAAAAACGTTTTTTTACAGAGGCTTTGAACCCAACGAATGCCAGCCTATGGTCGGAGCTAGATCCAGCAGATCCCTTGGTAGGGTATCTTAGCCAGGTGATTTGGGTTGGATGGTAACAGGAAGTAAGGTTTTAACCAGGTTCAGGCTCTCACGATGGAGATTATACCTACTCCTACCCGTGTATATTGCGATTGGGGTGTGTACAAAGTATAGGTGAATACCAAGGGATTGTAATGTGTCTATCGACGAGCCCGACCCCCAACTTATATAGCATAGCGGCGGTTCTATGGTTATTGTTCCTAGTTGGCTATGTCGGTGGAGGTAGAGTCCTCCACGACCTCGGTATCTCTGGCTTATATATCAACTCTTCTGGAGTCTTCGTATAATCCTCCATGGGTCGCCTAATATGGCCCAAGATGTAACCGACCTATGGAACCTCAGCCTGGCCCACCAGACTAGGAATCTGACATGGTAAGAGGCCCTAGACCGAGACACCGCCACCCTTGAAAGTCATTGCTCACGTCGAACTAGGAGAGGGATCCTCTGACGTACGGTGCCCTGCCGTTGGGCCACTGACATGTGGGCCCGGGTCCACATGTCAGTGGGCCAACGACACGTCAGAGGAGTTGCGTCCGTCGAACTATTGCACGTACGTCATTTCATGGTGCCATCCCTATTACGATGCGAGATTCAGTGAGGCATGTTGCATTGTTGTTCCATCCGTAGACAATTTGATATGTAGTGTCGAACAAGGATCAGAAAAAATGTCATGGCAAGGCTCTTTCTAGTCACCCAAATAGCCCGCAAAGACCAAAACAAGAGAAAGACTTTGTTTTCAAAATTTATCTTCTAGGAAATAATTGTACTTGCAAACTAAATTGGTCACCCTCACGTCAATATAAACTGTCATGGAAAACGTTCAATCCGGCATGCCTAAAAATCCGCCATCGAACTTTTAAGGCTGGTCATAGTGGTAGTATCATAGTTAGTATCATGCATGTCAACTAGGCAATTTTGATGAGGTGTCATGTCATTAAATGAAGAAAGAGAGGGTGGAGTATCATATCATGATACCATATCATAATAAATGTTATACTACTTTGTGTCATGCATGACAATAAATAAAGTAATACATGATACTAATATATGATAGTACTATGCATTAGGGAGGTAGTATCATACACTATTATCAGTATATGATACTCGCCATTACAACCAGCCTAACATTTCCGACTTTTTAAGTATTTATTTCATTATTTCATTTCACAAACCTTTTTTTCCTCCCGTGGAGCGGTCGCACCCGGGTCCCACCCCAAAAGCCCCAACCCCCGAATTCCCCAATTGGCCATTTCTGCACTGAATCTCATTCCCATCCCAGCCCACCACTGTAAAAAGGCGGCCGTGACAGTAGGGTTTCCCGATTCCCATCCAGCGTACAGACTAGGCGACCCCCGCTTCCCGTCCCCTCTCTCCTCCACACGCCTCGTCCCCTCTCTCCTCGTCCGCCGCCGCCGCCGCCGCCGCCGCCATGGGCAGGGGCAAGTTCAAGGGCAAGCCAACCGGCCGCCGCAACTTCTCCACCCCGGAGGAGATCGGTAACGACCTGAGCCCTCACCCCTCCTCGATTCCGTTCGGTCCCGTCGTAGTCAAATTCAGTGCCAGCTAGTGGGCTTTGTCTGCCGCCGTTGTCCAGGCGACTGCTTGATCTGATGTTGCGGCGAGGAGGCTTTTCTTCTTCTTCTTTCGCTTGGTTGCGGTGTTCCGGTAGGATAAGGGTAGCTCATGGTGACGTCAACATGCTTGGTTTTACTAGGAGGCACGGCTTAACATAAAACGATTTGCTTACAATGATGCTATGGGTTGTCGACGATGGGTTCTTCGTTGATCTATCCCGTGCGTCTTTAGTGTTAACGTTTTTGTTTGGTCTGGATCACTGGCGGAGGCCTCCAGTGGGCAAGCCTCTGGATGCTCATAGACTACACATTTTGCGTATTTCCTCCCTAAGGTTTAGATGCTTTCTCCATCACATGACTGGAGTACTGGACAACTTCATTTGCTTCTTCCCTTGATTTGTTAATGGAGTTTCCATTCATTTTCACTCTTATCAGAGCTTCACAGAAAAAGTTTATTTGTGAAGTTTAAACGCAGTGAGATATCAATAGCACCATGTATTTATCTAGTCTCAGACGAATACGCGTTTTCGAGGCATTATACAAGAGAGATGCTACATTTGAATTTGTTTGCGTACCTCTACAAAACATTTTTTGGGTGCCTTCGTATATATTTGTTTGCACCTCAGTGACTATTGAGTCATTTGTATTTGGCAATTTTACTTTTGCTATTCTTTCGTGTGTAGCTTTGACTTATATTTGATATTTTAAATGCAGCTTCTGGAACTTCAGGGCGTCCACGCTCGTTTAAGAAGGTTTGCACCTTCCGGAATTGAATTAATTTCATCAACATAATATTAGGTTACCTATGCCTTTGTTGTGCTTGTATTATAAACTTCTGATTCTAACATATAGCCACTGAGGTCCTATATTTGCTAATCTGATTGTGTAGTTTTTTTTTCCAATTGTTACAGCCGATTTCATAATCATTTGGGAAAAATACCAAGAGTTTTTGAGTGCATATAGATGAAGTGTTTACGTTTAATGCAAATGTGATCATGATATACTCCTTTCTGATCATCGATTTATATTTTTTAATATAGAATGTAGCTGAAGCAGAAGAGGAAGAGGAAGAAGTGGAAGAATCTGAAGAGGAAGAATCCGAAGACGACGGTGAAGAGAAGGTTTTATGCACTTATCCATTTGGAAGTACATGTTCATGTGCATGATTCATTGTTTACCAATCTGATTCAGTTTATAATATTCCAGAAACATAAAGGAACTGAAGGTGTTATTCAAATCGAAAATCCAAACCTGGTGAAAGCAAAGAATATAAAAGCCAAAGAAGCTGATGTAAGTGTGTTACAACCAGAAGCATCTATGACTTTACTACTGGTGGCTAAATATCATAAAATAGCATGCCACACTGGTGATAGTATTAAGTTTCCTCGTCTTTTCCTCCATTGCCTTTTCTATGTTGTCATACAAATGGCGTTGCCCAGCTATTTTCAATCATGAAAAGTGAAGTGGAACTCTTTATGAGCTTTAAAATCTTCTTTCCATGTTGATACAAAATATTGCCATACATATCTCCAACTAACTAAGCTTGCACGTTTCAGCTTGGAAAGACAACTGAACTCTCGAGGCGTGAGAGGTACTTGTCTTATATCAGCTTGTGCTATTTTCCTATTTGTGAAATGCGATGGTTATTCCATGTTTTCTGTCTTACACTCTGTTTGTGTACCATATCTCGCTGCAAATGCTCGTGCACTGCTTCTGTGTCTACCTTGAGAAATGGAGGAACATGAACTTGTAGCCTCTGGGCAAGTGGGCATGCAAAAAAAAAACTAATATAATGAATCAGTAGATAAACAAAACCTATGTGGTGGTACATATTAGTGGTCAGCATATTACCTTCTATATTACGTCATTCCCACTGGTTTGCAGGTTCTCATGAGTCTGTAGGTAGCACATCTCAGATTCGTTCTAGTCTCTAGTCACTATGTTGGTACTCACCTTTATGTAGAGATGGTCTTCATGGTAAACAGTTCCGTGTAAAACTGTAAGGGAGAGAGTGTGTGTGTGAGTGGAAAGAACACAACACCTATTATGTCGAAGTTCGTACCATTGTGATCTGCCCCATTGCATTGTTATAAAAAATCGTTTCATCAACTCTGCTGACACACTGCTATCATGTTTATTTTTAGAGAGGAGATCGAGAAACAAAAATCTCATGAGCGCTATATGAAGCTTCAGGAGCAAGGCAAAACAGAACAGGCGAAGAAAGATTTGGGTGAGATTTTTTCCATGTTGTGCTTACCTCTTATCTTCTCTTGGTGTCTCTTGGCCATGGTTATATATGTACTCTTCACATGGACTGCTACAAGATTGGACTCACATAGAAACATACACCACAATAAGGAGAGTAGCGTTTTGTGAATGAACTGAGTGAATAGAGTATTGATATCAGCAGCAGTGAACTCACAGCTACTGCCCAATCATATATAATCATCAACTTTTTAAAGCCCTGCATACATTCAATATTGAAGCATTCTTGGAAGTTGCAGATTGCCATAACTATTGTCTTGCAAATGCAGAACGTCTTGCTTTAATAAGGCAGCAAAGAGCAGATGCTGCAAAGAAACGCGAAGAGGAGAAAGCTGGTATGCCCCTTGATATTTGTCTATTGTTCATGTTAAGTTCAGCATCGTTGCCCTACATATCGTATTCACATATAGTCTTTGACCTCTACCTGTCTCATCAGTTTCTCATGCTGAAGTATTTGTTCCTTTGATATTTTTTGCTAAAAGGCATTTTAACACCTTTGAATAGTTCCAACTTCTTTATCTATAACAGGGTCTGCAATTTGGGATTTGTGACGGAATAGGAGTTGTGAATGGGTACTTAGTTCTGTATGGTTCACAAGGATTACGAGTCGACGAGTCGTTCCGAGGTTGAGACTCATAGACTAATCGGACTAGTCTTAGACTAGTGCTGGACTAGTCGACATAGTACTGTAGTACTCAACTACTAATACCTAGTAGCAGTATGGAGTAGTATGTAGTAAACTGTACAGCACATTACAGGCCAGCAGTGCTAGCCAACACTAGTCAGGCCCAGCCCAGCCTAGCGCCACACAGCATGCCCCCACCAGCTGGCCCATTTGGGCCCATTTGGCTAGCCTATACTTAACTCACGTCCCAGCCACTGGAACCCTAAGATCCCAATCGATCCCAACTCAGCCGCCAGTGCCAACACGCACGGGAGTACGTGCGCGTGCCCCGCGCCTCCGGCCGCTTCCGCCGGCGAGCTCGCCGACCACCGCCGTGCCTCCTCCCTCTCCTCTCTCTCTCACTCTCTCTCTCTTCCTTCTCTCTCGTCTCAGGGCCGCGCTCGCCTACGGGTCATGGCCACGGCCGCCGCCCGAGCACGAGCTCCAGCCGGCCGCCGCGCCTGGCTGCGACATCCGCCGTCCCGGCGATGAGTGGCGGCGGCCTCTTCCAGCAAGCTCATTTATACCTCCAAAATTTTGAGTCGCTCGACTCGATTTGGTCGACTAGCCCAGACTAGTCGTCGACTAGTCCATCCACGGCTCGACTCGGTCTGCTAGTCTACACGAGAAATGCAGTCGACACTCACTTTGCAACTAGTCTAGACTAGTCGTTTGACTCGTAATCGTTGATGGTTCAGAGGGAGGGAGGGAGCTGCACTTTTGAAAAGTAGCATGGCATGCCATGATGGACAGAAAGCACACGGGAGGAAGCTGAAGCGTCTGGTCACCATGTAATTTTTGCATTTATTACCCTGACATTTTTTGCAGTCTCCATGACCAGACCATTCCACCCCTCTCCCCTTCGTCTTCCTCAAGGTAGCAGCAGTCCTATATGGCTCAATCGAGTGTGAAAATTAGACCATTAGAACCCAACAAATAACCCCCGAATCAAGATGATACTAAGAAGAAATCTGCACGCTAGAGCTGTCATAGACCACCGAAGAGGGAGTCGCCTATGAACAACCGTCAATCACACCTCCCTTTCCAATAGTGATTCGCCTAGAACCTACTGTCATTACTCCTATCAATGCACACATGAGTATCAGAGAGGGAGAGGCTAGCGCCATGATGCTCTGTTCGCATGCTGCCGTTGTCGCACTTAAGTCGCCGCTGCTATTTTGCACCAGATGTAGAGAGGGATTTGGGCCCTAGGATTCCATGAAGTGGAATTTTGGAAGCTAGGGATTTGGCGATTGTGGTTTTTGGAGGTGGTGACGAAATTGGGAGCCTTTCGACAGGAATTGCATACATTTTTTTTCTCTGCAAATTAGCTAGGCCTGGAAGAGGTGTTGGTTTCCTCACACATGTGGTGTATGTGCACTTGGCAGCATGCCATTGTGGACGAGATTCTCTGACTTGCCTCACTATGGAGTATGGACTAAATTGACCTTGAAAGCCAAGTTTAGGGGGTCACTTTTCTGCACTTTTTATCTTCACATGGACTAAACTGTACAGTGGCATTACATCGTATTAGAATGCTTAATAATCTGGCTAGGTCATGAGCCACACACTTGTCTACCCAGTTCTTTTTTTAGGAGAAATCGCGTGTTCATTACAGTGTAAACACAACATACATGCAGCACTCAGTAGAAGGGGCCAGAAACACAGCAGAAAGGCCCCCAAGAAAAACAAGTAAAGCCTGGGGGGGCAAAATGCAAAAAACGCCAACACTCCACGCCGATCCGTACCGCTGTTGGAGTGCCGTCGAGGAAGCGGACGAGTCGCCATCCAACCCTGAACCGGAGAGACTCCATTGCAGTCGAAGCCGCTTTGTGAGCCAAAGAAGTGGTCGGCCGGGGATCCTTCCCATGCTTGCCGGTCCTCGGCTCCGTCGTCTCCGTCCGACCACAACGAAGGAGACCACTGAAGCCGCATGCCGCAGACCACAAACCCGAGACCAAGCCCCGTCTTACCGACGGGCCAACACTGTGTGTCGGCCATATCTCCTGTACACATCTCTCCCATCTTCGCTGACGGTGCCGAAGTAGACAACACCTAGGCAAACGATGCCCGCCACCGCGCACGCCGGCAAGGTAGAACCAAACCTCACCGCCCAAACAAAGCGGCAGGAATCTACCCCAAAGGCTCCTCTTCCATCCTGTAGGACGTCGGCGAGGGGGACGGAGCCTCGGAAGAAACGAATGTTGATGAGACACCGCCGTCACTAGAGCGTTGCTCCACCAAATCCTAAACCTAACCTATCTACACACTGAGAACGAAGCGCCGGGGTTCCCCTCCCCTCCCGCCGCCGGAGGGAAGAGGAACCGCCGGGCTCGCTGGCTTTCGACCGTGGAAACGAAGCCTTCTCCCTCTTCACCTCTCGCGGGAGCATGGGAAAGGGGAAAGGCGGCTTGTTCCGGGTTGTGTGCTTTTGAGCTGACTTTCCCGGCCCTTCCTTTCCCGTGTTATCTGCCCAGTTCTCAGGCCCATGCCAGACATCAATTTTTCCTAGGCATAGTGTAACACCAACCAAACTCTAAACGACTACCTGCCAAATAGTACTATGTGGCCTTCGCATAACATCTATTGAAAAGTAGTTAGAAATGGTAATAGACTAATAAATATAGGCGAATAGAATATTTTGGAGAGTCGTTTGGAGCACAGAGAGAAAAAGAAAGGGAATCTTTTGGGAGGCTCTCCATATGTACTACATCCTCCGTCCGGAATTGAGCGGCGGGAATTAGCTGCCGCTCAAACGCAGACGTCTTTGAGCAGCAACTAATTCCGGATAAAGGGAATACTTTGCATTAACATCATTTTGTCTCTTATGCACAACAAAGTGTTCGTATTTTCATTAACCTAAAAATTTGTAAACAGTGTCACATTCTTTAGTTTGAGAATATTACGAGTTGTGCACTGAATCATATCCTGTTGTTTGCAGCTAAAGAACAGAGGAAGACCGAAGCGCGCAAATAACCGCGTAGGTTGTGGAGGCTGTGCTGTGTTGGCTGGACATTTATTTCTATGCATCTTAGTATATTTAAACCCTGGTCTCTATTGCATCATCTACATTTCCATAAAAACCGTGCATTGACAAGTGTAAAGTAGTCCTGTCGGTGTGGCTTGCTGTAAACTTGAGCTTGGCAGGGTACACATTTAGTGAGATCAGCTTATGTGAGATTTGCTTTCACTCAAATTGGTATGGAAAATAACTGTTGAAATTTGATGTTGCGGGCTTTCGTTGTGTGAATGATGGAGAAGAGCGAGCGCATGTATGCCATCAATCAAATACACAATACTTATTTTTGAGGGCAGAAGAGCGCATGTGTGCCATCAATCAAATACACAATACTTTTTTAGGGCAAATACACAATACCTTGGTGTGATGGAATAACTGAATAGATGTGGTGATTAGGGCATGTACAATGGTGCTATCTTACGAGTGTTAGAAAATAAATAAATGCTGAGATTGAGGAGAGAGAAATCATAAGAATAGTCTTGTCTTCTCTTATTTAAGAGATGGTTTCTGAGCATAATTTATCTCTTCATATTTTAAAAAGATAGCTAGTTATTAAAAACAAAACTAAAATATAACACATTGTAGATATTTTTTTGTCATCTCTAAATATAACACATTGTATGACTTGAGAAGTTTCAGCTCTGATTTAGTCTCCCAACAGACTTATTTCTCCATGCATAATATTTTTCTTCTTCTCATTTTTGACCCAAATACAACAAAAAGGAGACCCATTTTGATTTATGTATTTATATGTTTTGATACGCCACATGACAATATATATTGACGACAATTCATAACCACACACTACACGTGTGTATTTGTTTCCAGAAAATTTGGAGGTATACAAAATAATATTTTTGAAAAAAGTAGTGTTCGCTGGAGTATATATATTTGTGAATCTGTCCTCCAAATCTTAGTTTCAGCATGGAGTATGACATTTTGAAGCTCCTATTTTCTTAAAAATAAAAATAAAAATAAAAATAAAAACCGAATTTTCAAGAATTCTGAAAAAAATCAACGTGTGTAAAATTTTCATGCAATACTTATGAGGTAACGAAAAATAACAAAATCATTAAACTTCACGTGTGTTTTCTTCTATAGCTCACATGTATCTCATCGTAAGCTTTACAAACATGTAGAGTACATCTATATGTACATGTGGATTGTTTTCAATTTTTTTGAAACTTGAAAATTTGATTTTCAATTTTTCTTCAGAACTCCAAACGAATTTCTTATACATCTCCGCCTACTACCCTTGCTCTGTTTTTCAATTTTTTTAAAACTTGACATATTGATTTTTGGTTCTTCTTCAGAACTCCAAACAAATTTCTTGTACATCTCCGCCTAATACTACCCTTGCTCGGCGGGCTATTGTGCAGGAAACGCCCCTAGTACTCCAATAAAATTACTCCCTTCATTCTCTTATACAAGGTTACTTCATATTTCTTTAGTCTAACTTTGACCATTAATTTTACCAACAAAAAGTTAGTTATATGCCACATAAAGTATGTCATTAGATGCACATTTGAAATAACTTTCCAATGATACAGTTCTCATGACATATAATCCATATTTTGTTGACCAAAATTACAAGTGAAAGTTTGACACAAAAAAGGAATGGAGGGAGTAGCAAAAATGAAACATCATAATCCATTGTAATGACAAACATTGTAACAACATTGTCATATTGAATGCTATAGTTAGCGTGAGACTTTATTTGCTTTAATTTCTCACAAGACGTTTCCAAATGTGTCAACAAAAGCAGCCAATTCAACCAGAGTACCTCAGTTTGTTTTTCTCGAACTGCCGAAAGAGTACCATACCCTTCGAGGGTAATATTTCTGTGTTCCCAAAATTCACTATTAAAGAAAAGCTATAATGCTATACCTTCACGAGGTAATTCTAACTTAAACCCACTCTGTTTTGTTACAACAGCAGCTCAACCTTGGGCTTATTCATCGCTAGTGTCCTACGAAACAATCCTCCCACTGCTGTGTGTAGAAACTGGATGGGCCTTGTATGCAAAAAACGGACATGCCTTTTGGAGGATAGCGCAATACTAGTAGTGGCTTTAGCAGTACTAGATAGATGTGACTGGAAGTTTCGAACTTCACTGCATGATTTTGTTTTTCATCATCTTGCGTTTGTTGGCGTCCAGGTATTTCTTCCGAAGCCGTATGACCTTGGGAGTAACCTGATCAGGTTCAAATGCCAACAACTCAATATAAAGCAGCATAATATAAGAACTTGCTTCCAAGATGAAACTGGAATAATAATATGCACAAATGGAAAACCAGCTAGACAATAACTCATTTTCTTTGAGACAGATGGGTATATTGTTATCCCAACTAAAACCATATTTTCTGTTTGGATTAATCAGCACCCCAACACATTAGCAGAATTATTTTGGATTTCAATGCCCCCACACTGACACGCCAATATTGTATAGTATACAAACTATTTTCTTACATTTTTTAGGTATACAAAGTATAGTTCCCTGATTCAATAGAAAGTTACTTTTAAAACATGCTCCCAGCCTACTTTGTAAGTAGGAACAGATTTTTAGGTTGTCAATTTGACTAACAAAACATATGTAATATGCCAACAACAACAAAGCTTTTAGTCACAAAGAAGTTGTGCTAGGCTAGAGATGAAACCCATAAGGTCTCCCACGCACCCCTATCCTTCAGATCTCTTTACGGACTGCTCCCAAGTCAAGCATGGTCTACCCCTACCTCTCTTGACATTATCAGCACGCTTTAGCCGTCCGCTATGCACGGGAGCTTCTAGAGGTCTGCGCTAAATATACCCATATCATCTCAAACGATGTTGGACAAGCTTCTCATCAATCGGTGCTACCCCAAATTTTGTATATCTCATTCCGGACTCAGTCCTTCCTCGTGTGACCACACATCCATCTCAACATGCGCATCTCCACCACATTTAACTGTTGGACAAGTTGTCCTTTAGTCGGCCAACACTCAGCATCATACAACATTGCGGGTCGAATCGCCGTCCTATAGAACTTGCCTTTTAGCTTTTGTGGCACTCCCTTGTCACAAAGAATGCAAGAAGCTTGGCGCCACTTCATTCATCCGGCTTTGATTCGATGGTTCACATCTTCATCAATATCTTCATCCTTCTGCAGCATTGACCCTAAATATTGAAAGGTGTCCTTTTGAGGCACCACCTGCCCATCAAGGCTAACCTCCTCCTCCTACCTAGTAGTACTAAAACTGCACTTCATGTACTCGGTTTTAGTTTTACTAAGTCTAAAACCTTTCGATTCCAAGGTTTGTCTCGACAGTTCTAACTTCCTATCGACCCCGTCCGAATATCATCGACTAGCACCATATATCACCCGCAAAGAGCGTACACCATGCGATATCTCCTTGTATATCCCTTGGGAGTTGGGACTTCATATGTTACATACAAAACATATATAATATGCCATAAAAAGTATATATATGTAAAACTTCATTGGACGGCGAATCTACAACAACAAAGCCTTTAAGAGTTTTATAGTCCCAAACAAGTTCGGGTAGGATAGAGTTGAAACCCATAAGATCTCGAAACCTAGTCATGGTTCTGGCACGTGGATAGCTAACTTCCACATATCACTGTCCACGGCTAGTTCTTTGGTGATATTCCAGTCCTTCAAGTCTCTCTTTACGGACCTCTCTTAACATGTCAAGTTTGTTCTACCCTGACATCTCTTAACATTATCATAACGCTTTATCCTTCCGCCTATGCATCGGCGCTTCTAAAGGCCCACATTGTATATGCCCAAACCATGTCAAACGACGTTGAACAAGTTTCTCTTCAATTGGTGCTACCCCAACTTTATCTCGTATATCATCATTTCGGACCCGATCCTTTCTTGTGTGGCCGCATATCCATCTCAGCATGCACATCTCTGCTACATCTAACTATTGAATATGTCACCTTTTAGTTGGTCAACATTCTGCCATACAACATCACCGATACAATTGCCATCCTATAGAACTTGCCTTTTAGCTTTTGGGGCACTCTCTTGTCAAAGAGGACGCCAAAAGCTTGGCGCCATTTCATCCATCCGGCTTTTATTAGATGGCTCACATCTTCATCGATATCACCATCCTTTTGCAACATTGACCGCCCATCAAGGCTTAACCTGTTCCTCATGCCTCGTAGTACTAAAACTGCACCTATGTACTCAGTTTTAGTTCTACTAAGCCTAAAACTTTCGATTCTTTATATTAACCCCGTCTGACTATCGCCGACTAACACCACATCACCCGCAAAGAGCATACACCATGCGATATCTCCTTGTATACCCCTTATGACATCACTCATCACCAAAGCAAAATGATAAGGGCTCAAGCTGACCCTTGGCGCAATCCTATTTTAATTGGAAAGTCATCAGTGTCGCAGCATTATCATACATTTCCTTGATGAGGGTAATGTGCTTTGTTGGGACTTTGTGTTTCTATGAGGCCAATCACATGACAGTCTACGGTATCTTATCGCAGGCCTTTTCCAAGTCAATGAACACCATACGAAGGTCCTTCCTGTCCATAAGTTGTCGTACCAAGAAAATAGCCTCCATGGTTGACCTCCAAGACATGAAACCAAACAGATTTTTGGTCACACTTTATTGTATGGCTCATCTGCTTAATTCCATGGTAATCAATGCAACTTTGAACATCCCTCTTATTTTTGAAGATTGGTACTAGTATAACTTGCCTTCATTCTTCACACATCTTCTTTGACTGAAAAATGAGGTTGAAAATAAGGGTTCATCTTTTTTAAAGCCTCCCTAACCTCAAGACTCTACTCATGTATTCATCAAACAAAACGTTTGTTGATATCATCAAAGGAGTCCAACTCAATGGCAGAGCTCTAATTCTAACAATTGGACAGATTGTCGAAGTACTCTTGCCATCTACTCCCCTCCGGCTTTAAATACAAGGCCACT